CTTGGGTCTCTTTGTGGGGGAGGGCAACCTTTTTATTAGGTCCAGATGTTGCTTTCTGCCCCGGGCCATGCTGGGAAGTAAAGCAGAGTGTGTTACTGTTGGCTGGAAGAGCCTCTTTGGAAACAAGCTCGAAGGAAGTGGGGTTTCTCCTGCACCCTGTTACCTGGGGGAGATGGGCCAGCACAGGAGGCACAGGCAAGGAGTCACCTTGCTGCTGAGCAGCCCTCTTCCCTTTGCTCCCAGCAGTGAGTATGGCTTTATCCAGCTGCCCACTTCTCCAGGGCTCTTGGGTACCTGCTGTCCCCAGGCTGATGGCACCCATAGGGAGCGTTATCCCCATCACTGAGCTGACAGGTCCCTTTGGACCGATTTCTGTATCGAGATGTGGAGATGGAGCACTCCGTGGGGGTAAGGCTGCTCTCCAGATGTTACTTTTCACCATTAGGCAGTGTTTAAAAGCATATGTGATATTTTCCACCCCTTTCTGAGTGCATTGAGGGGAGAGACCTTTGGAGGGGTGAGCGTGTGGGGAGGGCAGCAGGACCTGCCCCCAGAGCAGCCGCTCCTCCGCAGATGAAGCTGCTCCAGAAAGCACTGAGCCTGTCCCTTTGCCGCTGGCTCTGCTGGGCTGTGGCTGATGGGGCCGGGCTCCAACGGGTCCCGGGAGCCGGTGCCAAGCCTGGAGGCCCTCGGAACACGTGGCTCATTAGCAGTGCACTGGGGCTGGGGCTGGGGCTCGTGCAGAGGCTGGGGCTGCCAAATCATTCACAAGTCCTGGAGGGCTCAGAAAGGGCCCAAGCTGCAAAGTTCAAGGGCAGAATGGAGGCAAAGCAGTGCTGTGCTCAGCAAAGTACCCGAGCAGCGAGTGCTGCTCCACCATTCCCTGCTCCACTCCACCTTCACTTTGATACAGGCTCAGGACAGAGCTGTCAGGATGCTCAACTCCTCCCCTAGATACTAGCTAGGGATCTGTGTGGCTTTGGGTGCTGTCTCCTCTGGTTCAGTCTATATTGCAGGGTAACGCCTGTGCTCAACCAGCCAAGGATGCTCCTAGAGGCCTGAGATGCTGCTAGCCCAGAATGTCTCACTAGAAGCTGGACCTGAAGCTAAAACTCCAGCTCAGCACCTCCAAGGCCATCTACTTGGCTGCAGCAGGTTGGGAGGTCCCTAACATGATGTTCATCATCACCCAGCCAGCCACAGGCACGGGGGATGCCAGTACTTAACACCAACCCCTGCACTCCATGTTCTGTGAGTGTTGAGGCACTGGAATGGGTTGCCCAAGGAAGCTGTGAATGCTCCATCCCTGGTCATGCTCAAGGCCAGGTTGGACAGAGCCTTGGGTGAGATGGTTTAGTGAGGTGTCCCTGCCCACGGCAGGGGGGTTGGAACTGGATGATCTTAAGGTCCTTTCTAACCCTAACCATTCTGTGATTCTATGATTCTATTAAGAGGTCAAAGAAGAACACAAAGGCTTTTATTTCCTGAGGCATTTGTCAGCAAGGAAAATGTGCTTTTTAAAATGCGCTGTGTTTTCCTTGCTGCCCTCCCATGCAAAAGCCAAATGGACTTTCACAAGCACAGAGCAGGGTGCTGGCTTGTGTCCTGTATAATCCAGTGCTTGAGGATTCAGATGAGGAATTGGTTGGATCCCTGCTTATCAGTAAGCAGGGTATATTTAAATGAAATGGGCAGATTTCAGCACTACATCTATAATTGCTGGTGTGTTCCTCTCCTGCTCTGATTATTTATGTTGAAAATGATAAATGAGGGATTGATGGTTCTAGCTGGCTCATGAATAATCAGGTTATTTCGCTACAGAGCCCCAGGGGAAGGTAATGTTTCCACAATCCTCCATCAAAGGGAGAAAGCAGTTTGCACGCCTCTGTGTGTGTGTTGCTCATTCCTCCACTGCCTTGCACTTGGCTTGGTTTTGCACGCTCCCTCTGCAAGTGTGCACATCCCCATCCACTCCCACAGCACACCCCAGTGCCAACACAGGTTCCCAGTCCGTGCAACCCCTTGGTATTGTCACCTGCAGCCAGGCACAGGGTGTTAGGAGGTGATGGGCATCTTGTGATGGGAGGCTGCATGGCCAGGGTGCAAGCCTGGTGCTCTGGGAAGGTGCAGGGACTGCAGCAGTCGCCTTGGAAGCAGCCCTGATCCCATTTGTATTTCAAGGAGCTGGTCTCAGGGTTTGCTTGTGAGACAGGAAGAGCCCTGGGGAGATGATTTGTATGTTTATGGATATAGCAATATCTAATCGCTGGGCTCAGAACAGGCTCAGGAGAGGAATCTGGAGGTGGTTAGCTGGAGAGGAGGATATCTTTATGCTAGAAATGTGCTGTCCGCCTGTTTGCAGGGAATCAAAGGCTTGGCAGGATGAGCATTTTCATCCTCATAGATGTGAACTCCCCATCTGTCCTGGACTCTGAGGCGTGGAACTGTTTAGATCCAATATCATTATTAGAAGCAGAAAATAGAGCTCATAAAACTCCCTCCTTACACCCCCGAAAAAGCAATTCCAGGACCCTCTATCCTACTTGTGAACAAGCCATTCCTGCATTGATTTTCCCGCTGCGGCTGGGCTCATTGCCAGGGGAAGGGGACTCAGTGCTCCAGCAGAAGCTGAGCAGCCCTGGGGCAGCTCCTTGCTCCTCTCCTCTGGAACCAGACCTGTTTAGAAACAGGCAGGGGAGCTGGGGACGGTCAACGTGGTGGCAAACCTGCACGGCCAGGCCACCTTCCTGCTGCGCCGTGGGGTAACTACAGAGGCTGCATCTGTGGTGGGAATCGCTCTCCCAAGCAACAGGCTGAAAATCAGCACTATATAGACTTATCATACAGACTTACAGGCTGGGCAGGCACTGCAGAGAGCAGTCGGGATGGAAGTCACCAACCCACCACCAGACCAAGTATCCAGAGGCCCATGAAGCCACCCTGGAGTCTCAACTGCTGATGCTCAGGTGTCCCCGAGGCACTGAACATGCATCATGGGACAAGAGGAGGCTGCAGAGCTGCATGTAGAGCATCTCAGGTGGGGTTAGTCACCTGGGAGGTAGGTGTGGAGCTACAGGGTCATCTGCGCTGGGGACAGAGGGACCTCGAGGCATATCTGCTGTGACAGACTCCCATCCCATCCCATCCCATGTCTGCTCCCCGCAGAGATGGCCTAAGTGACAGTTCAGCATCCTGTGCCACAGGAGATGCAGTTCATGCAGGTGCCAGGATATGCATCAGTCCAGGCATGATGCTGGTGGGTCCTTTGCATGGGTATGGATTCATGACAATATAACAGGACAATACAGCTTCCCTGCAGCTTGGCATTGCCAAAACGTGTCAAAGAGACTTCTGCATGTCCAGGCTGTGACATTGCCATCTGCTGAGCACAGGGAGCACAGACTTGCACGTGGTAGCTTCAGGCCGATGGCTTGGCAGCAGGGGGAAGTTTTTACTGCTCCAGCATCAGGTAAGCTTCTTTCTTTGGCAAATTGTGTTATTTGTTGAATCTACATAGCTCTGGAATGAAATCTGATGAAGGCGTCTGTTGTTCCCTTGCAGCTCCGCTTTGTTGAGTGGAATGGGGATCCCAGCATGTGGGGTTTTATTGTTATTTAATTTCTAGTTGCCCATTATCAGCAACTTCTTTTAGGTGAGGCTTTTGGCATTTTACGCTCGGCATTCTTGCTGTCTGTAAAAGCAGCCTAAACCTTTCCTTCTGTTCATAAAGGCGTCTAGTCTAAATTTGAAGTCCATCCATTATAACTTCAGCACCTTGTAATCCCTCAGAGATATGTGCAATTACTCTCTGAAATATCCAAGGAGCAAAACTAATACCAAGCATCATCTGCTTAAATTTACAACATCCAAATAGCGCAGTAAAAGCCACTAGCTTAGGGCTTAGCTCATCTGAGCGCACTTGCCAAAACACATATCCTGCATCTAATACTGCTTTTGCTGCTGAGGATTTAGCTGCCACCTCAGGAATCTTCATTGGACGGCATTCCTGGTTTAAGGTTTTATTTAAATAACAGGAGTGGATGCACATGTCCTTTGTTTGGCATTTGGGTTTCAATCACTGAACTCACCCAGCCTACGCATTCCCTGCCTTCTCCTGTTGTGTTTCTTCAGGTGCTTGAGCATGAGCGTGTCTCCCATCCTTCATCCTAGGAGCAGTTCAGCCTTGATTTGTGTCAAAAAGCTTGGGATGAGGATATGGGCACTTCCCGTGCACCTGAAGCAAGCCTCTTGCATAACATGGCTCTCCTCCTTTCCATTCCTTAGAGTTTAACAGCTGCTTTCATCCAAGCCTATTGACTTCATCCCTATAAATCCAATATGATTTTTCCATAAGGATTAGTGTCAGATTCTCCCTGCAGACATCTTAGGTCTTGGAAGACAGCTGAGAGCTCTACTAATAGCTGGCTGGCGAGCCTGGGGCTTTTACAGCAATGGCTTTAAAAACACACTTCATGGCTAGGCAGGGTTTTAGCCCTGATGCAACCCATCTGGCTTCATGACTTGGAAAGCCAGGACCTAGCAGGGGTCCTGATAGTGTACTAGGGTGTGCACATCTGAATATGAAATACACATTATGTGGGCTTTCTTGCCCTGGAAGGTCATGGAAAGGCTGGGAGAGGAATTACCTTGATTGAACACCGGGGCTTCATAGGTGGGTGGAGCAGGATCAGGCAAGAAAAGGGAAATGTAGAGTGAAGAAATGGTGAAATCTTGAAAGGTAAAACTGCCCCTGTGGGAAGTGTGAGTTTTTTGCCCACTGCTTTCCAGCTCTACCTGGGCATATGTGACAGAGCAGGTTTTACACATCACAGCACTGACAGACTGAGACACTGCCCCCCAAAACCATGGTGAGCTGGGCTGAAATCCATGGGCTAGGGAAGGACACACCAAAAACAATCCCTCTGGAGGGGAAAGGGGCATTAGGCACCAGGTAAATGGATAAGGAAGTGAAGAGGAAGGAAACCCCAGATACATCAGCATGACAGTTTGAGCATTTTATTATGATATATAAATTTTGTCTTCTTAAATTATTCTCTATGAGTTGAACAGAAAGGAATTATTGTGGAGGGGGGAATATACAAAAATAAAAGGATATTGTGAACTACTGCACCACCACATATACAACAGTAAAGTACTTTACAAGCACTTAGAGAATCAGACTTACAAAAATAAAAATATGACACATCCTTATGCAATTCCACCAGTTATATGTTCTCTTCTTCCTTCTCTAACCTTCAGACACCTTTCAACCCCATCTTCAGGTCACGATTCACATAGTAGGATACTTTGCCCACTTTGATGGCCATCGCAGTATCTGAAAAAGAATCAGTGCCTCCCAAGGCTTATAAAATACAATGATTATAGAGGAGATGTTCAGAACAGATCCATCTGTGAGTGATGGGGTGATCCTCAGGGAGCAGGGTTTAGAAATGTTAATATCTCACATCAAGATACATCATTCCCTACAAAGGGCTCCTCTTCTCCACAGAGGCACAGCTCTGTGCATGTGTGCTTGATATACACAGCCCCTGCAAGCCTGGGGGACACCGTTACTCAGAGTGGGACTGAATGACTGTGACATAGGATGGCTCTGATTTTGTTTTGGCTCTAAAGAAGACAAGGATGCCCTTTCCTACAGGAAAAAAAGGCAGGCTAAAAGTACAATGGCCAAATATCCAACACACTGTTCCCACACGGAACCATTCGCCTCTAGATCGGTTTCATGCAGCCTTTAGTCTTCAGTTTGCTCTACAAAGTCTTTTGCTCTTTCACCTTCTAGTGACCTTTCCTGGTTTTTTAAGACTCACTCAACATAAATAGTAAACAGCATTCACTTCTCTGACCAGCAGCTCACTCAAACACTGCTATCAACACCCAAACCTCATTTCATCATGCCCAGAAAGTATGCACCTAGGGTGCGAATTGGTCTGTATTTCACATTGAGAGAAGTAGAGCTGGCTTAGGAACAATAACAAAGGAAAACAAAAAAGACAAGAGAAGCAGGGAACTGTTTGGTCAAAGTTGTGCTCTCTGCGGATTGTGCAATGTATTCCACAGATTCAGAGTTCACTATTCAGTTGGGGTTCAATCTTTATGACCCCAAATGCAATGACCGCAATGCGGGCAGACAGCCCCAAGCATGCCCCAGGGGCAAAACAATCACAGGAATGAAGGGGATGGAGGGCAAACCCCACACCTCTGAGACAAGTGATTTTCCATATTGCAAATAAACAACTTTCTTCCCCCAGAAAACAGATGCTAAAAGGGAAAGTTTCTGATCTCAAAAATAGCTATTGATGGGAAATAATTCCCAAAGGCAGAGTCTGTCTTTACCCATCAGGTTTACAGGACTGTGGGCAGCATCAGGATCCTGGGAGAAATCCTGTAGCCACAGTCCCAGCTGCTGAAGGAAACTCACCTTTCTAGAGCAGCATTGCCATGGTCTAAAGTAATCGTTTGCATCTTCCAGAAAATAGACATGAGCAAAGATCTGTTGCTGAGATTAATAATGCTCCATTTAGAAGAAAAACACCTCTTTGGTGGGACTGATGGTTCTTTTTAGATGTGCAAACATACTACAGGTAAGGCACTTCTTGGCTGCTCGGAGTGATTAATTGCCAACACACATAAACTTCAGTTTCTGGCATTTAAGCAAAAAAAGTCATCACTTTCCCCACTCATGAGCAAGATGAACATTGGCTCTTCTACAACTGCCTAACCCAGCCACAGGGATAGGAGCAATAGGGAGGGTGGGCAGAAGGGTGGGATCTGCGCCCAGGCAAGGGTAAAGATGTGACCCTCTGTGGTTTTCCTGTCCTCAGGAAAAACAAATTCCCTTTCCAATGCCAGCTTTCACTGGGAAGAAAAGCAGCTTGCGATGGGCCCATGGGAGACACCATGTAAGAAGGTATTTTTCAAATACTTCTACAGATCTCAGGCACTTGGCAATGTCACAGTTTGGATGTGGTCCAGGGCGGGAGCCCACCATGGCCTGTCCATGGCTACACAGCTCAAAGTGTGTTCAGCAGCCTAGAAACCCAAGCAGCTCTTTTTATTCCTGACATGGCAAAAGCAGAGAAGCTGCTTAAGCTCAAAGGAGCAAGAGCATGTTAGGTCATTTCTAGTCTATTTGCAGAGAAAACAAAGCACAAAGCTTCAAAGAGGTCTGGCTTGGACATGTAGGGAACCTGCAGTGCCAAGGATGCAGCCCTCCACTGCACCCTCCCAGGGGTCACATCCACCAGTGAGACCCCTGCCCTTGCATGGTGACAGACCAGGCGGTGGCTCAGGTCTCTCTCCACTGTATTTGCACAGTGGTTTGGGGGCTTCCTTGAATTCTTCTTTCCTATTGCAGCTAATGTTTAGGAAGCAAAACTAACAGTGGTCAAAGTGCATAGCGCCTGCAGCTGGCCGTGATAAGAGATTTTCTGGGGAAAACCTGTTCTGCTCAAAGATCAGTGTGATCAAAAACTGCAGCTTTGTGCTTGGAGCAGGGGAATAATTCAACTGTTAACAGGAGAAAAGCCTGATGTATGGTCAGAATAGGGAGTCTCTGGCATCCCTTCAGCTTTCAGGTTCAGCTTTGAGGTCAGCCTGTCTCCATACTTACTCAGTGGAGGTGCCTGCAATCTAATCTGTCAACATGCAGGGATCTCCTGGGTATGACTATTGGTCCCGCTTTTGAACCTGGATTACGCTGTTGCTCAGCTTGGAAATCTAACCCCTTTGCTACACTCTCAAGCTGCAAGGAAAGAGCCCTCCAGAGCCCCTACAAGGTACCCAGAGAGGCAGATGAGTATTTCCACTGGTCACAAGGTTTGCTCACCAGCACCTGGTGAAACAGGATAGACCTCTATATAGATAGATGAGCTAACAAGTGCATCCCCAACTTGCACTGCACTGGGATCACATTGACCTTAGCTTCAACTGCCCTGCTGCCTAACTAACTCCATAGCACTCAGGTCTGCTGGTGCTCTGGGGACAAGACTTGCTTCAGGCACAATAATCCCTTTGGAGGCAGATGTTGCTTTTCCAAGCTTTGACGCTGACAGTCAATGACAGCAAAGAACTGAGCGATAACAAATGTATTGTTCCTGTGTTGCTGAAGAGAATTCAACAGTAGGTGGAAGCCTTGGAAATCCTTTGAGGGATTTCTCCCTAACAATTCCTAACTCCCAGATAGAGACAGAGTTCAGCACTGCCAGAGCACACATCTTTCAGTACCAGCAGTGCTTCAGCAGTCAGGACTTAAGTTTGTATATAAAGACCTTGCATTTACCTCTGGTGGAAAACTTGTGCTCCACATTAAACAAGAGAACTCTGTTTCATAAAGGTCACAGTTCTGGTCCCATTTACCAAATGCCTTTTGAAATCGATGGAAAAACTATTTAAAAGTGATGGAAGTCACTGTTTAATTTTTATTATTTTAGGTTTTTCAGCTCTATTTTTTTTAAATCTCTGTGGGTTTCTGCGTCAACTGTTCTGGGCAATCAGCTACGTCTTGTTGACATTGCTAATAGGGTTTCTGACTTGGCTGTTCAGTTGTGTTCTGAAATAACTCAATCAGACCCACAGCAAGTCAGGAACAAAATGGAAAGTTCAGAAGAGGGAAAGCTGGAAATTAAATTCCGGAGCTGTGTGATTATTTTCTAAGTCTGGGCTCTTCTGAGCAGCAAGCAAAACTTCTTGGTAAGGTTTTTGGAGACAATTCCATGCTATTTTCAAAGGCTATATAGATATATATGTGTGGGAATCCAGGCTCTTGAAGGTTTTCAGCAAGCTACCAAAGTGAAGAGATAGCAGATGTGATTCATGAGTGGGGGAATGGTTTACCTTAGGATGGCTGCAGTGATTTCTGCTCTCTCAGGTGTTCCCTGGTCCTTTTGCAGAGACAGCTCAGCTGTTTGTGAAGAACCTGTTGATTGCTACAACCTATTAAAGGGAAACCAGGATGGATTTGGGCTTTTCAGTCCTTCAGGCTCTACACTGAGGAAGTTTGGCTGCTCCTCCACAGTCAGTGAAGCTGTCTACACCCACAGGTATGCAAACTACAACCTTGCTCATGAGTTAACCTTGCACTGGCTTCTTTGAAGCTAGACAGCACCTTTCTGTACTACAACCTCTCTGCAATAAGCCATACCCTGATACTCAGGAGGGTTGCAAGTATGTAAAGATCCCTCTAAATTGTGTTCAAGACAACAAACAGCATGGCACACTTGGGCTGACAGTAGTTTTGATACAGGGTATTTGGCTCCTGAATCAATTGAGCACTTTTAGGAAATAACCCTTCAGCTATTCAGTTTCCTCCATCTCCCCTGCACACTCTTGGCTGGGCTCACAGAAGAGGTGGCTCTGCGTTGGTATAAGCCTTTCTCCTACCTCTGGTTGTGCTGTGCCTTGCTACAGTATATAAACATCTAACTGCTAGCGAGAGCACCATGTGCCTGTTTTCTTCCTCTTTCTCTTGGTGACAGTCCCCACTCCTCCCGGTAAGTTAGACCTGTGGTTACTGCAGTGGTGTAATATTGCAACTATCTCCGAGATGAGCTGTGGAGCAAGCTATGATGTACTGATAGAAAGAACCATTTCCTCTGCATCTAAATTCTAAGAGACGTGGCTTGGTTTACGCTGGGCAGACAGGATGCTGACATTGCAGTTGGTCTTCCCTTTGCAGAGATCAAAACAGCTCCAAAGGTTACAGTGAGTCTCACCTATGTGCTAGACAAGAACTCACAAGGCAGCACTTTGCTATGGGTAACAGGGTCCTTTGTCATCTTGATTTCATCTAAACACAAGTCAAAAATAGATATGCTTGGAAAAAAAAAACAACAAAAATAAAATCCAGATCATGAACGTCAGGAACGTCACAAAATACAAGCCAGCCTCTCACTGATCAAAACCATCCCATGCCCTGGAAGCCTCCTCCCAGCCAGTTCAGCCTCACCCGAGACGCGACGACGTGTTCTCCAGCCATTAGTATTCCGTTGCCATCAATGAAGACCCAGCCAGAGACCCAGCAAAGGCCACAGCCTCCTTGAGGTTGCACGGTTGCCAGCGGCAGGGCAGATCAGAGGGTCTCGCTGTAGATGACGCACGGGCTGGTTTCCTCACAGAGTTCCAGCTGCACGCTGGAAGCAAACCAACGCTTGGCACAACCCAAGCTGTAGTTGAGGGTGGTCCGGTAAATGTTCTTGGCACGCTTTGGGAAGATGATGGTCGTGCTCTGAAACCTCAGTGGCTTCTGGCGGGGCTCAAAGATCAGCTGGGACTTGTAGTTCCGCCAGGTACAGTTGGGAGCAGCAATGATTGTCTCGCTATAGGTGGTGACGGTGGGGATGGGGCCGTAGAAAATGTCATCCCGATAATGCTTCTCGGAGTCGTACTTCACCTCGGAATTGCACCTATAGAGGACAGCATGGTATGAGGAACTCAGCCCAGGCAGCAAAGACAGGCAGGACTCTTCTTTAACCCTTTGGAGCTGGCAATGTTTATGACCTCTTACTGCACAGACACGGATGCTCACCCTACAACCCAAAGCAGAGGTCCTAGAGGACTCCTTCCAGCTGGTGAACCTTAGTGGAATACCACCATACCACGATCCATCACAGCATTTCTGCAGTGCATATGTACATAAGACCAAGCCTGCCTAGTCATGTCAGGGCAGAAAAGACCTTGCTGCACAGGTTCCAAGCAACCTCCTTTTTCCTCTGGTTTCCTCCATGGGCCCCACAGGGGCCTCAGCTCAGCCCTGTGAGCAATACTGGAAGCCAACACCCTGTTAGCAAAGCACATCAAGAGGTGGTGAAACCCCTCAGCTGGGGTAGGTCAGAGTCTGAGGATTGGACAGAAACCCATGGAGTGTGCAGGAAAAGCTCAAAACCCCAGCAAAATGCTTGATCCAGCCTTTTCCTGACCATTTTTAACAAGCACAACCATGCAGCATCAACTCAAAATGCTGAGGGGCCCTGCAAAACAGAGATCTCCTGACCATTGACTCATGGTAGGTCTTATCACACTTCCTACTGCTAGTGCTATGCTTGGGGGGTGTCACTGCCCCACTGACCAGGCTGAACAGATGCTGCTGGTGGGCTGTGGGCATGGGATGTCACACCGGGGTCTGGGAAACCTACTTCTCAACACAGCATGTGTGCTGCTGCTTTCACAGCCTGTTGTCCATGCAAGCTCTGGCTTGGCAGGAAAATAATGCCTTAAATAAGGTTTTCATAGATGGCAGAAGCATGACACTTGTTGAGCTGTCATGGCTGTGTGTTTGTCTATTTTTCTTTATATTGCCTTGCCATCAGAGCACAAAGACACCCAAGCTAGCTAAAATCAGAGGGCTGTGAGATGGGGGTGAGGTTGCTTGTTGGAGCCTACAGAAAGCCGAAGCAATGGTCAAATAGCAGGAAAAGCAAAGAGATGCTGTGGATATGGCTGTCCAATAGCCAAGCCATTGGTCTCAAAGGAAGTGGTCATGTTAACAGCTATCAGATGCAGACAATAGGATGTCTGCAGGCATCCAGAAGGGATGTATGGATACCAGGCCACATAAAGGTCTTTTCCTAGAATCCGTGGCCCCAGGGAGCAGCAGGACTTCCACTTGTTTTCCCTTGCTCCCCAAATGCTCCTTCTGCAAGCAGCAGCCAAGGAATGTGCAGCTCCATGTAAGAAAGATTAAAAGCTGGGTGTGTGCTTGTCATTACCTCCAGCCGGAGGGGGGTGACTGATTGTGCACCACATGTAACCTGAGCTGCTGGTAATGTGTTTTGCACAGCGAGGGTGTAAGCAAGTCATTCAGCACATACAGAACAAGACTCCGATGTAATCACCATAAAAACATGCCCGCTGGCAGTTCCTCAGCAAGCAGAGATTTACTGGGGTACATTTCCAGAGAGACGTTTGCATAGGTTGCAGGGGGTGGGAACTGAGTTTACAGCATCCCTGCCCCAAGCTGTGTGGAACTGCTCCATGCTGTTTGCAGAGTACATTCCACACCAGCAAAAGAGGAGCAGAGACCAACGTTCATGCATTGGCTGCAGCACCAGTCTCACAGGAGGTCAGAACATCTCCATTAGTGGCTTAAGGGACCATCCCATGAGGAAGAGCTCATTCTACCTCTGTTGGCTGGTATAAGGTTGGTTTCTCTGCAGTGAGGGCTAACAAAACCAGGTGATGTAAGTATGTGCCTCCTACTGAGGATGTAAGTCAGCAGGGAACAGGATGAAGACAATCAGGTTATTCAGTGGAGGCTATCAAGCCTACAGATGGTAATGGTTTTCAATCATAGCCTTGGATTTGAGCTGGCCCTGGAAGGAAAGCCCTCTCTTAAAACCTCCCTCCATTTCCTGCCTCCTCCCCTCTGCCTCTGTCAGTGCCTTTAATTCAGGCATTACTCTCACCCCTGTTCCCCCCCTTCCCATCAAAATAACTGTGACTCCCATTTGTAAACATACTTTATTTTTCTGCAGAAGGAAAAGCACCAGGAAAAAGACAGAAATTCCACCTACCCACCCAATCCCATCTGTACCTGATTTCCTGCAAGGGCTCAGGGGTCACCTCAATGCTTTCTCCAAAAAACACGGGGTACATTCGAGGCCTCATCTCTGGCATGGATGGGTTCAGGAGCAGGTAAGGCATCTGCAGGGAAGAAAAGCACAGCAAAGTGTTGGGACACAATAGATGAGGCTGGCACAGTTCATAATGTCCTGTGGATGGCAGCTGAGCAGCCAGCACTGAACTCCATCTCTTGAAAGTCTTGTGGAAGTCACTGCAGGTGACAGCCTCTCTGGCAATGAGATGTGACATTGGCAGCATCAGGACCAACTTTGTTCCCTACAAGCTAAGTTCGCCTTGCTTGCGCTCCCAGCATCATTCAGCTCCCCTCGCAGTCCCTGTCCTTTCAGTGTTGTAGCAGGCCCTAGGTTAGGACAGTGATCATCACACTCTTCCCCACCCTTAAAGGAAGTCAACTTGCCAAAAAACAGCCTTAAGCCAGAGAACAGGACCATTACCCTCCATCCCCATGCAACCAACCTTTGCATTTAAGATGTCTTGACTTTCTGATCTACCTGCAGCTGTATCCATTTACAGACTCACTTCCAGCTCCCAGGGCTGATGTGACACAGCAAGCTGCTCTGCACCCCCCAATGCCACCCTCTCCACCTCCCTCTGCTCAGCACATCACCCAGGTAAGTGATTCTGCCCACTTCTCTGGCACTCCATGCTGCAGCATCTGTTTGTTGAAATTAAGCCCTTCCTTCTTCCTATCTGTTCATTTCTCATAGAAATTGAAATTGTCTGGGGGTTTGCTTTAGCCCTGATGTTGCCTTCACTGTTAAGAGTCTTGCAAAGACTCAAAGTGCAGCAGCATGGAGAAGTGCTCAAAGTCTGATGTAACACAGATAGAGTCTAAGTCTGCTGACTTAAAGGATCTAGGTTTACTTAAGTGAGGTGTGTATATATACTTACACAGATATATATTCTGAAAATGATATATCCCTTGCTGAAGTCTCTATGCCAAAAGTGGCTGTCACGCTCCAAGAGACATTCTAGTTACCTATGCACAACTGTGGGGTGAGACACTGGGCACCTTGTAACCTCTGCAATGCAGGAAATGAGTTGCAAGCCGGGGGGGGTTAATGAATGGAGCTGCTCCTACTCCTGACACCAAAAATTGGATTTTTAAGACTAATTACACCCTGAAGTTACTTACTCTGACAAACTGTCACAGTCCAGCCTAGGCTACTCTGCCCACCACAAAAATGAGTAATCCCACTTAACATCTTAAACATCTTTCCCACATATAGGGATCCTGTGTCTGGTGTCTGGACTAAGCCCAGCAGCTAATTAAGCCTAATCCTGCCCTCGTGGAAAAATGTCACTGCAGGTTTTGGTTCCTGCCAGCACTTTTCTGTTGGAAGCAATTTATGACATACAGGGACACAGAATCTCTTTAAAGCAGATGGCTGGAAGCCCCTGTGCAGGGTGGAAAGGTCTCTACATGGCTCAAAAGCTCATGGAGTTTTCCATTTTATACCACACATAGGCCATATGTGCTAGAATCACAGCAGTATTTCATCAGTGTAAGTCAGATCACCTCAGGACTCACTTATGGCTGACGATACTGCTCTTGTATTTGCTTCCTCTTCACATCCCACTCCTTTCCCCCTTCCGCAGCATCTTCTGGTTGGGTAGTACAGTAAGGAACATGGGAGCTGGTTCCTACCAGCAGTGCTGTATAAGAGGTACTGCAGCTTGCACCCTGCTCTGAGAACATACAGGTCCCCAGATGCTTGCCAGGTTGTCCCTCAAATTGGTGTTAACTGGCAAAGCTCTGTTGAGTCTGCCCAACAGCACCAGCTCCTGCTAGCTGAGGTCTGTTTTTCTCTAGTGGCTTGGGCTTTCTGCCTCAGGCTAAGGCAAAAAATGTCACTGCTCCATCTGAATTTGCCAAGCCCTTGAGTTCTGTGTCCCAAAGCCACAAAGCTGTTTACTCTTCATTCTGAAATATCGCTGTACTTTACTGCTGTGTTCAACCGTAAAGTAAAATGGCCAACCCCTCTTTTTGATTAAATAGTTCTATTCTGTTGTTAAAAAAGGACAATATTTGCATGGGGGGGGGGGAGATATGTTCACCCTCACTACCAGACACTGTCCAAAAGGCAAAGTTAACTCCCGGATTGCTTTCAACACTCTTGACAGGGGAGGCCAAGGGCAGCCTTTCTGGTCGTAAATAAAGCTCTTTGCTTCTGCAATGTGAATTGTTTACAACAGCCAAGCCTTAGTTCACAAGGGTGCAGATCTCCAGCTTTTAACAGCCTGCACACGGCCAGAGCTCCTTCTAAAGACATGTTGTATGTGAGGAGAGATTCATTTGTGTGCAGGAGTCAAATACCATGTGCACATGCATTCATGAGCTCTGGGATCAGCAGACAAGCTGGCCTTTTGGGGGTTCACCTGCAAAGAGATGTGGATTGCTTTAAGTGGTAAAGGAAGAAAGGCTGGGGATACATGTCCCTCTTTCAGGAATCTGCACAGGGCAGAAAGGTGGGTCTCGTCCTGTAACGTGAAGAGCAGACCTAACAGTATAAATACCTCTTACTGGAAGATACTTGAATGAGCTATTTTCACCATGAACCATGACTCTCGTGCTGACTTAAAGTGCTTTGGGCTTTTATATTGCACCCTGAAGACTATGCTGCTGACCAGGGTACAGGTTTGCAACAGGCTCTGAAGGGAAAGCTGCCTCCGTTGAACTACCACTGCCTCTTCCAGCACCACCCAGATGCTTTCCAGAGGGCACCCACCCAAGTCCATGCCCAGCTCCACCCTCCTTATGTGATCCTAAGAACGCGCATCTGGAGGGCTCTGCACATCCTGCTCTCTTCATGCACTATGGGGAGCCTTTGCAATGCTGGGGAGGGACAACAGTTCTCTTTAGAGTGTAACCAGCAAAGCTGGTGTTTTGCTGTTCCCTGTAACAGGCAAAATGAGTCACAGCCACCAAAGACAGTTTCACGCTCTGGTACCCATCACCAACACAGTGGAGAGGCAGAACAGAATTGGGAAGGCTTTCCTGTCCCAGTTTCTACACAGCAGATGTTTTCAAGCCATGCTGCCAAAACTGACTGCAAACTTAGATAACCTGAAAAGGGCTGGGAGGCACTGGTCTGAGCCGCAGGCATCTCAATGTTGTCTGACTGTGCGTTTAGCCTATGGGAATATCTATCTTCCTTACTCCTCCTGGCCAGGGACAAGTGAAGATTGGGTAAAATGGAACACCTGTGAATTAAGCTGCTTTTCAGATCCAGACCAGCTTGCTAGAATGCCAAATAACAAACTCAGGTGGATGGTAACCATGAGCTTCTTTGCTAGAGAACACAAGAGAAATCCAGATCTCTCAGTGGTTCTGCAGAGGGTATCTGTACAGTGCAGTTTAAGGAAGCAGTTTCAAAGAAGTTATTTCCGTGCTTCCAGGCAAACAAACCTTCACACTTCTTGCTAACAGAGGCTGATGTTAAGCATGTTCTAAACATCCCTAGAGATGAAGATGCAGGAGGCGAGGTCCTTCCTGTGGCTTAGCATCTGGCCCTCAGTGTTTGTACAGAAACAGGCTTCAGAGCCCCTGTGCGCTGAGGGTGCTGCTCAGGCAAAGCATGGGCACAGAGGCAAGGCATCTGTTGAAATCCTAAGTCCCACAGCAGGGAACAGGAAACAAGAACATGTCTCAGAACAATACCAATGCACATGGAGAAACAGAGGCTCTGTCATGCATGGCTGAAATCAATCATGAGTCAAAAAGTTGCCACTGAATGTGGTGAGAGCAGAATTAAGTCATCTCCAGGTTAGTTCTGCATGGAATGGTGATGAGACTATTTCCATTGTGGGTTTACTTTTCTCTGGGCAGGGAAGGGTGATAAAAAGCATTTCATAATGCATTTCACATGCTGTAAACAAGCATCAACTTCAGACCTGCAGGCTTAGTTTGATTAATTTAGAAAGGTGGAACAATTGAGGACATTGGCAAGTCAAAGCCAGCAACCTCTATCATACGTCAGAGACCTTTACTGAATCACACTTCTCTACCATGAGAAGCACGATGAGCTGCTGCAGGTCAGAAACCTTGAAGTCACCTGGAAGTCTGAAAGTGGAAGATGTAAATAACTTACAAAGCAGAGTCTAAGAATAGAGATCATCTGTAAAACCCTGCAGTCTGCTCACCAAACAAGCAACTGAATTGCTTGCATGGAGTGAAAGGGTCACTGAACAGTAAGCACAGGTTTATATAGAGGCAACCGAAAGGCATTTTGTTTCACCTCCACTGATGTCCTGAAATGTCTGCTCCTGCATCTCACCTGGAGTAATCAAGGAAAAGGGGATATGAGCTTTCCAAAACCTTTGTCTTTTGGGCTGAAATGTTATATGCACACCACGTGTCAAAAGCTGGCTTTTTTGGCAAGAGTCTGACAGCAGCTGCTGTTTCTGTATCTGTTTTAAGGTAAAAAACCAAAAATGTTCTGCCTGTCAAAAAAAAGGTACTGACTCAATTCTTTTAACTTCTGCACAGGAATGGTTGAAGAACAACAACCCTGGCCTGCTGAGCTCCCTTGGGAAGATGAGGATCCTCGGCTCATTTCTAGCAATCACTCAGCAATCTCCAGACACTGCACAAATAAGGTGAGTTTCTTTATTGCCCTGCACCACAGATGGGCTGGCTGGCAGCAGAGGTTGTTGTACACTACTGGGGGTCACTGACAGTGAGGAGGAGGAACTCCCATGTCTTTAGACAGGGTAACCACAATGGATCCACAGTCGATGTCTGTCTATCTAGCAGGGTTGCTGTGCTGGAAGGCTACAGCTGGGACCTGATTAATCTGTCCCTGGTAAATGGAGCTGTGCTGCGACTTAGAAGATGCAGCTCTGCAAAAGCCACCATAACACTGCTGTCTTTATGCAGGGAGGAGCCTGGTAGTCCAGGAAGGCTGAGGAGGTGAAAGGGAAGATACTGGGAAGATCAAAAAGTGAGTCCCATGCGTACATGTTATGGCACCAAAACAGAGCCAAAGTGAAAATTGAGTGGCAAAAATGCTACAATTTTTATGTCCTTTCTGGTAGATAATTTGTTCCAACCAGCAAAG